TATGCCCCCTACCTGTGTGTGCCTGCTTTCTACTAATGAGGATAACAGAATCTGCCCTGAGTGTGCTAGTGATGATGACAGCGTCAGGCTCCACACTGGGTTCTTCACTTCTCTATTTCCTTAATCATCGTAACAACTCCACAAGCAACAATGGCTAATACTTGATTCTCCCTACATGCTAGGCTCCATTTAAAAGCTTACAAGTACTTGCGCATTTAATAACTCTCTGGGGCTTAGGTTGTTAAGTAAGTTGCTCAGGGACACACAGATAGCAGGCAGTGGGGCTGGGATTTGAATCCAAGACTGTTGGACCCCAAAGGCTGTGTTTTCTCTGTTAGAACTGCATCAAAATGTGCCTTGAAATACTAAAAGAGTATCGCCCACATAAAGTGTCATTTAGATTGTTCTACTGATTTCCCTTTGAGCATGGAGGTGCCAGGAACCCGGAGGTCTAGGCTCCTAACCTCAGGCTCTTGTCCCTCTCCAGTGACTAATTCCGAGAACAAATTGACCTGTGAGGTGCTGGGGCCCAGCTCCCCCAAACTGATGCTGAGCTTGAAGCTGAACAACCAGACTGCAAAGGTCTCAAATCAAGAGAAGCTGGTGACGGTGTTGGACCCTGAGGTGGGGGTGTGGCATTGTCTACTTACTGACAAGCACAAAGTCCTGCTGGAATCCAAAGTCGAGGGTGAGTAAGGCCTAACCCAAACCCCTGCCTCCTCAGCTGTGGGACCTTCCCAGGGTTGGCAAAGACCACCCAGAGTCCCAGCCTCCCAACTCTCCTGAGATAGGTGGGTTATGTATATGGTGCCTGGATACAGGGGTGATAAGATGAAGTGGGGTGTGGTCCTGGGTTCTAGGTACCCACCTGTAGTTCTTCAAGTTCTTATCTCCCTAAGTCTGCAGCCCAGGTCTGTTGAAGAGCCCCCATCCTGGTTCCTTTCCTAACCCTGCCACAAGCATGTGCATGCGCATGTATGTGTGTGTGTGTGTGTGTGTGTATGTAAGGCACACAGACTGCTTCTAGCTCCCCAGAGTGCCCTGTTGTCTCTAAACCTTAAAACCTCTTCCAGAGCCTTTCCCCTCTAGCCTGGTGGCCTGTGAGAGCACAGTGTACCCTGCCCTGCTCTCCCAGCCCAAGGATCAGACCCAAGAGTGGCTGGGCAGCCAGGCCTTCCTCAGGCCCTCTCAGAGTGCTCTGTGCCCTGTGGAAGGTAATGAGCTGAACACGCCTCTCTCTCTTGCAGTTTTGCAAGCAGGGTTAACCCAGGACTTGCCAACATTTCTGGCCATTGTTCTGGGGCCAATAGGAGGCTTTCTGATTTTCACCGGACTCTGCATCTTCTGTTGTGTCAAATACCGGCACCGAAGGGTGAGTGAGCCTCCCCAGACCACCTGCCCGCCCCCCACACACACACAGCAACAAGGGTGTCCTGTCTATGTGACCTGCTTCTGCTCTGTTTCTCTCTGCCCACCACTGAGTTTCCTTATTGCAGACTGGGCTCTGTCCCAGATCCCAGGGAGGGAGAAGCAGGAAGGAGCAGAGAGTTAACTCTGGGACAGATGGCCTCAGCCACAGTATCTGCTTCTCCTCTCCCAGCTTTCCCCACTGCCTCCTCCAAGGGGCACCTCCCTTTTGGAGGCCTGGGACCCTCACAACTTCCCTCCTTCTTCCTGGACAGCGCCAGGCAGAGCGGATGTCTCAGATCAAGAGACTCCTCAGTGAGAAGAAGACCTGCCATTGCCCCCAGTAAGGAACTGGGGGGAGATGGACGGGGTGGTGAGAATGGGAGGGCTAGGGGAAGGACAGGAGGGGGAAAGAAGAGAGGAAAGGGAGGTGATGAGGAGGGAGGAGGGGTGCAGGCCAGAAGATGGGGGCTAAGGGAGGTGGTGGAGGGGAGAGAAGGGTACAGAGGGATGGTTCAGGAGATAGGAAGTAGGCCGAAGGTGGAGAGAGGATGCAGCAGGCAGCTGTGGCCCAGAGGCCATCACCATACTGGAAGAGAAGAGGGATCTGGGAGCCATGGAGGTCCTAGAACTCAAAGGAATTGGGAAGGACTAACCTTGCTCCTCTTATTTTCCTCCAGCCGATTCCAGAAGACATGTAATCTCATTTGAGGCGCTGGGCCAGGGGGAGCTTCCCACTTGCAGCCTCCCCAGCTGTCTACCCTGCGTTTCCTGTTGGGCTCCTGGGCCTGTGGACCAGATGAATGTAGCAGATCCCAGCGCCTCTGGCATCTCCGGCTCTCCTTGTCCTCAGTTGGCCATTGGGTCTCCTCTTCCAGAGGCTTACTCACAATACCGTTCCCCCATTCACTTTTCAGTCAAACCCTAGCCCTTCTTTGATTATTTCTTCTCAACTCTCTCCCTCACTGTCCACTTGGATCCCAGGGGAGCACACAGTACCAGCCCTGCCTGGCCTGGAGTGTGAGGCTGGGTATCTGAAGCATGAAGCACAGGACTGTCATTTTACAAGAAAGAACTTTGGGATCAGAGAGGGCAGGGACTAGTCCAAGATCACATATCCAGTCAAGGACAGATCCAGATCTAAAGGCTCCTGACAGCTCCACTGTTCCATTCTGACACATACCCATGTCCAGAGCTCACACCTGTGCCCAGAAACAGTTCCTTATCACCCAAGCAGCACATTCAGTTTATAAAACAGTTTCACATCCTTTGTTTACTTAAACCTTATGAAAATCCTACAAGGCTGGTAGTGAGAGGACCAAGATTAGCATCTCCAGTTTGTAGATCAGAAATGGAATTCACAGAGGTCATAGGATTGCCCAAGGTCACAAAGCTAGTAAGTGCTGGAGTCTGGACTGGCCCAGACTGCTTGATTCCTAGTTCTGCTGTTTCTTGAACATAGGAACAAATACCACACAGATCTCTGCAGCTGGCTAGTCACAGATGCTCAGTGTGTACCTTAGGATTCTCGGGAGCATACCGCCTGCCTCAGAGAGGTCAGGGGCATGGAGGAGGGCCTTCCTGCCTAAAATCCTTCAGCACCTGCTGGAGGCAGAATCCTGTTGCCAGAGGACAAAGCCTTCAGCTCTCATAATCAGAGCACAGGCTGGGAGCAGAGTACCCAGTGCAGAACTCACTCACTCTGTGCAGAACCTTCTGGAAGGTGAGCTTTGCCAGGTGGAGAGGATGGGGCACTGGCCTTAGAGTGAACCCACTGGGAGGACATCCTATGAAAGGTGATAGTGCTGGGCCTCAGTCCCCCTGCCCTGTATGCTCGTTCATTCCCTCCCCAAACTGTTCAGGATACAAGAGAATTGAGGTTACAAGTATTCTTCCTCTTCTTGATTCAGTTCTCTCAGGATCCCTAGCCTGCTCTCCCTCTCCCACTTTTCTCACTATTTCCCTCCATCCCTATGCCCTTTCCCTTCCCCTTTCCTTCCAGCCTGCCTCTTCCAAAAACACCCAATTGCTGCCAGCGTTCCCATTGCTTGCTTTATATGCCTGCCCACTCCCCATCCCTATCTCCCTGTGCTGACAGAAAAAACAGTAAACCTACTATAAAGAAGATGCTCTTCTTCATTTGTGTGCATGTGTGTGTGTGTGTGTGTGTGTGTGAGCGCGAGAGCGAGAGTGAGAGAGACAGAGACAGAAAGAGAGAGAGAGGTGTGTGTGTGTGTGTGTGTGTGTGTGTGTGGACTCTTCTCTGGGGACCCAGAATCTTCTGATCTATGGGTCAGACGCAGAGCAGAGGTTGCCAGGCTTGCCCCAGGTAGAAGATGAGGTTTCTCCCCAGAGGGAAAAATTCTTTGGAGACTGATTACCCACCTACCCACCCCCAAAGGTCCCTGCATGTGTGTGTGAGGCTAAGACTTTGTAGTCACGAGTGCGCACTGAAGGGGAGAATCTGTAGGGGTGTGCGTGTTCCTTCCACACGTGTATGTGTGCGGTGGAGAGCAAGGACCATGAGAAACTGTAATGTGTGGGTGCAAACTGTATCCCAAAAGGAGTGTGAGTTTGTGCTCCAGGAGGGGGGTGTGTGTGTGTGTGTGTCCCTGCATCCTTTTAGACCCGTGTACCCCCACCCCACCAGCAGCCCAGCTTCAGCACCAGCCCCCCTCACTGCCCACAGCCTGCAGCACATGCCCCTCGGAGCTACAGCCCTCACGCAGATACACACGGTGACACACGCTTCCTCCTCCTGGAACAGCTAGCTCCTGGTCCCCGAACACCACCAGCTGCCTCTCGGAGCTTGTGTTCGCGTTGAAAACGGGATGGGGTGGGGGAAGGACACGAACCATTTCACCAATGAAGTCGGCTTCCCTCCGTCCTCCTCGCCCCCTCCCTCCCGGCGCTTTCCTTGCCCCTCCTCCTGCAAGTCACCACCGTCCAGTTCCCCGCCCTACACTTGTTCCC